CATTCATATATAGGTCGGGTGATTGCAACGTGAAGTATTATAAAATTCAGCAAGCAATCTTGTTTGGATATGATATGATTTAAAAAACCAGTAGCTTTTCCTTTGTGGAGTCATCATTTTATTTTCAAATGTTTCTTTGATGTTTTGTTGCATTGAAGAAAGAACACAAGTCATGACTATTACCTTTCTTTATTTAACGTATTTATATATATCTTTACATATGGCATTGGGTTTTGCAGAAATGGAGTCTGAGGCACTGATATGGGGAGACAAACTCTTACTGAGAGGATTGTCGTTCCATGGTTTTCACGGAGCATTACCCGAAGAGAGGAAATTAGGTCAAAAGTTCGTGGTAGACATTGATGCATGGATGGATCTCAAACAAGCTGGCAAATCTGACAACTTATCAGATACTGTCAGTTACGCAGATATATATTAGTGAGTGACCAACAAAATTTTCATCATTTCAATCACTGCTTAAACATCTCATATTATTATGATTGGTGATGCTGATGCTGATGCAGCTTAGCTAAGGAAATTGTTGAAGGGTCAGCTCAGAATCTTCTGGAATCAGTAGCTGAAAAAATTGCAGTGATGACTCTGACAGATCATGAACAAATATCTGCTGTTCGTGTGAAGATTGAAAAGCCTCATGTTGCAGTTCATGGTCCGCTTGATTATTTAGGTGTTGAGATATTTCGACGCAGAGCTCATTTGTCAAATTAGAACTTTTATCTTCTTTTGCTGCTCTTATTTTGTTATATGCTACAAGTCTATGTCTTATTATTCCAATACTTTTATATTATTTAGGATATTAATAATGTTTTTTCAGTTTTCTTAATTAATATAAGACTATGTTTTTTTGTTGTTATCATTTGATTAATTTAAGATTCGATATAGTTAAAACATTTAACTATGGTCGGAATTCTCTTATAGATCGAGCGATGGGTATCCTCAATAATTTCTCAGAGGCTCTTCTCGCACATTCGTATATTTCATTCTGCATCCTCATATACTTGTGAAAAGATCTATTTACTCTTATATTTTTTTCATTTCATCTCTTTCTTCCTCCTACTGTGCTTCTCTCTCTCCCACGTCCTTTTTTCCTTCTGCAATTTTGATCTGTGCTGTCTAAAATATAATTTTTTATATGTATTTCAAAATACTCCAGATACAAAATTTTTATTTTCAAAATTCGGAATTAATATTACAAGAAGATAATAAATAAAATATTTTTAACTTTTTTAAATTTGGAAATTAATTTTTACACATTTTCAGTATACTAAAACCAAAATATAATAAGAGGAGAGTGAGCTATACTATATTATAGACTAAATATGTTTTTTTTTGTCAAATTATTTTTAAAAATTATGTTTTATTTTAAATTAAATATATACTTATTTTATTCGTATATTTTCCTTTTATGAAAGTTGTGTAAAATATTCTTTTCAACAAGGTGTAAGTAGAAGTTGTATCATAGTCCACTATAAATATGTGATTTTTATAAAATGTGGAGAAAAATAGGTATATGGTTTAATTTAAAAACAAAATATGATTTTTTTTAGAATAATTTGAATTTTTATAATAAGATTTATGTACTATTTTACGTATTTTTTTGTATTTTATTATAGTTGACTAAACAAATAACATCACTGAGAAAATACAATCGGAAGTCATTTGAAAAAGAAATACTAATTAAGGTCTTTTTGGATAAAGAAAATAGAAATTATTTTTATAAGGAAAAAAAACTATAATTTATTTTTTATAAAAGAAATATCAAATTTTAAAGAAGTGAATACGAAATAATTTTTATGAATTTTTATTTATAAAGAAGTTCGTCTATAATCCTGATTCAATGAAATGCTAAATTCATAAATCCTATACAAATATTTATGATTTTTATCGACCGATATATTTTTTACTTAATAACACTTATTGACATGTCATTTGATTAAGTACACTCGATTAAATGTTATATTAATGACCCTTCGTGGTTACAAGAAACGACAAGATTGGTTGGGATTACTATACTTTTACACCACCTAATAATTTACAAAAAATGAATGGTTTTTGGAGAGCTTGTGGATTTCGAGAATAGACCAATAATACTTTTTTATATCCTCTTAAACTACACATATGTTCTTTAAATTTTTTTTATGATTATTAATTCATTAAAGTCGTTGTTATCATGAGTGAATGTCTGGATATCAAATTTCAAAATAAGTGTAGTTATTATGTTTAATTAAATGGAAGTAATTATAAATTTGAGTATTTTAAATTCATATTTATTAAAAATTGTTTTATTGATTATTTAAAATATTTGTTAGTTTTATCTAATCATGTTTGTTGTTTAATTTTTGTCTTCAATTAAATTAGATGACATGATCATTTATTTTTAATTCTGTCAGAACCATTAAAAACGCACCCAAACCCTCTGAACGGACGTCAGGTGTCAAGCTGAGGGGAGTCAGAAATCAGATAGTGGAATGCATGTGTCAGCAGAGGAGCGGACGTTCGTTTTAAACAAAACTGAGTTTTTGAAAGTTTACGTCACACTCTCTGCATGCATCTTCTTCTCCAAAAACTCTGATATTTCTCATTTCTCCTCCTTCTCACTAAAAGCTCTCCGTTCTCTCTACGGAATCTTACCTTTTCTCTTTTCCGATCTCCGTTCAGGCACCGTAGAAGCACTTCTGGTGTCCCAAGCTTCCGTTTGAACCGATCAGTTTCGAGTTCTGAACGGGTAAGTTCTTCTTGTCCTTAGCCGTTCGTTCTCGGACACATGCAAACCAAGTTCTTGTTGCACGAATCCATAGTCTCATTCTGAACCATTTTGGTCTGTTGTTTGATTCTGGTTTGAAGAGTCGTTGAGCGTTGATGGTAGAAGGAATCATAGTCAGGCGAACTGTATTTCTGTCTCTAGGACGTTCGTTTACGCTCAGAGGTAAGGGAAGCTTATTTAATTTAATTTGTATGTTTACTGTGCTGCATGAACGTTCGTTGAGTTGCTAAATTAAAGTGAAGTATGATTGTTGTGATATTTGACTATATGATATATGATGGTTGCTATGTTTTGAGGTATGAAATATATGAAATTTATATGATATAGATTAAATGAAGTATGAAAATTGATTATGATATGATTGTATAAAGTTATGAAACTATTGTTAATAACGAGTTGAATATTAATGAAATATCTAGATATGAAATTTCGCCTATGATAGTGTAACGTTTCGTCACTGAACGGTCATTGGACCGTTCAGAAATACTAGAACTTTGGTAAAATTGGATTCTTTCACTTTGGAAAGGAATCTTAGAGTTGAGGGACGAGCGTCTTTCGTGTGGTTAGTATTAGCTTGATATTTTGCTGAGCGTTCCGCAAGCCATAGGTTTTGTATCTGGGTATTCTGTGATATAACTTAAATTTGTAATATATATGTAATTGTATATTTTAGTTATTCTTAAAAACACTATTCCAATAGTAATCTATTATAATTTATCAAGCATTTCTATTATAAGAAATTTTAGGTAGTTAGGCTTCGGTCTCAACCAAGTGCTCGTAAGAGGAGTGTTCGGTCTTATATCAGCGCTCCCGTACTCGTTTCCCCTTTCTTATATGATTATATGACAAATAACGGTTTCGTCCAAATTCATTAACAGAGTTTTCTTTCTACAAAATCAGCTCAGCATTGACTAGCATTTCGGTTTTCTGGAAATGTTAACCCAAATAAAGGCTAATTTTTTTCATAAGCGTTTTCTTTCGGTTTCTTTTTTGTGAATTCTTCTAAGTATTGGTTCTTTAAAAATGGTCTTGAAGAGTTTTACATATTACATATTCATTGGTTCCGGCCCTATAGCTTTAGTAACTTGTACATGTTCTTGAGTTGTTTCGTTTGAGCTCGCACGAGAGTCCAGTGTCATTTAATTGTGCTTCAACTTTTTTAAAGTAACGTTCGTTCCTAAGTCGTTCTGTGACATATATTGTAACTCCTGGTTTTTTCTTTCAACTTGACAGTAACCGCTCCTCCTCGGTCTTATTCTACTTTATGGAACGGAGATTCTCCTTCTCTGTCTCCCGTTCAAGTGTTTCGTCCCTCGTACTGAGTGAGGATTGAACGTTCGTTTTTGAATGGTCCTTAAATAATATCCCTTGAACAAATATGAAATTTGAGTGTATATATGTATAATGGAAAGATGAAGAAAATATGAATGGGTAATGTAATGTTTGTGGATTATGAACGAGCGTTCCAGGAGGTAGCTTCTTAGCTTTAGTGACGAGCGGCTTCGTGTGGTATATTATTATGCTTGAGCGTTGTCGGCACGCATAGTTGTATCGGGTATTCGTGATAACTAAATTTGTAAATATATGTAATTGTAATATTTTAGTTTATTCTTAAAGCACTAATCCAATAGTATGTTATTATATTTATCAAGCTTTTCTATTATTATTTAGTAGTGGTGGCGGATGCTCTCCAAGTGTTGGCGTAATGAGGAGTGTTCGTCTTATTATCAAGCGCTCGTACTCGTTTCTTTTATATGTAGATGAAAATAACGTTCGTCCAAATTCAACAGAGTTTTCTTTCTACAGTGCTCAGTCATTGACTGGCATTCGGTTTTCGGAATGTTAAACTCAAATAAGCTAATTTTTCATAAGCGTTCGGTTTCTTTATGTGAATTCTTCTAAGTATGGTTCTTTAAATGTCTTGAAGAGTTTACATTCATTGGTTCCGGCCTAGAGCCTTAGTACTTGACATGTTCTTTGAGGTGTTCGGTTTGAGCTCACGAGAGTCAGTTCATTTTAATTGGCTCACTTTTTAAAGTAACGTTCGTTCTAGTCGTTCTTGTGACATATAGTTGTACTCGGTTTTTTTCTCAACTTGACAGTAACCCTCTCGGTCTTATTCTATTATGGAACTGGAGATTTCTCTGTCTCGTTCCAAGTGTTCGTCCTCGGTTTTGAGTGAGGATTGAACGTTCGGTATTTGATGTCCTTAATAATCCTTGAACAAAGATGAATTTGAGTAGATTTGATAATGAAAGATGAAGAATAATATGAGATGGATGAAAATGTTGTTGATTATGAACGCGCGTTCCAGGGAGGAACGACTCATGGATGATTATTGAATTTGTAAAGTATGACTGTGGGCATGCTAAGCTGGCGGTTCATCCTGATGTTCCGTGATTACTCATTCTCACGTAGAGGAGGGTAGGTCATGTGTGAGAACGGCAGGAGGTCCTAGTCCTTAGGTTTAGTATTACGATTTATATGAAACGTATGATGAAATATATCTTGTGTGTTTGATTGTGTGAAATGTATGTCTATACATGAATTAAATTACATAAGCTTACCCTGTGTTTTCCTTGTGTTGTCTTATTTTGTACATCCGTCTTTGTCATTGCAATGATCATCCGTTGTGGATGTGAGCAGAAGGAGACGAGTTCCTGGAAGAAGCTTTAGCGGAAGAAAATCTTGTTGAGGTGGAAGTGAAGACCGAACAATAGGACGTTCGGTCATTAGTCTAGTTACAGTAAGGTGGTCGTTTGATCACCTCCTCTTTTAATTATATTTGACCGTTCGGTTTAAACTCTTGTAATCCATTCGGTCATGTTTACTTATTCTGTATAGTTTTAGTCGTAACCTTTCTGTAAGGCCGTTCGGTTATAACCGTACGTTATTCTTAGTGTAAGACTGATCTGACTTATTGGTAAATGTAATTATTCTAGTATATAGTTATACTGTATTTTTGGAATGTTACAAATTCTCTCGAACTCTCTTAACGGTTAATATATATTTATATAATTGATTAAAATAGAATCAAAATTATAAAATTTAAATATGAATAATATTAATTGATTAGGTTATTTCTATAAT